AACTATTTCCCAGTACCATTTAAAGGGTTGCATTCGCACGGACAGTGTACGTAAGACAACAACGGAAACAAAGAACAACGTTAACAACAGGAGGATGGAGGACGCTGTGATCGGAGCGGTGTTTTTGTTGTCTCGCGGGTTTCACGATAATGGACATGAAATGTCGACATATAGGCTACGTAAAGCGATTGAAAGAACGGGAAGGAACTGGCAGTGCTACATTTGATACAAGTGCATGCACTTCAGCGTCCGTCCATCTATCGCTGTTCTCCATACTTGCGAAATAAGTTGACACAATGTTTACAGTATGTTTACACGGCGTTTTAAATCATGGCGGGGGAGGGCGGTTTCGTACGCGTTTGGCCAATCAATGTCTACTTACGTCACGGGTAGTACCAGTTGTGCTGGTTAGACCCTGCTCCGGAGTAGGAGCTAATTTGGTTCTCGAAAAAGGCAGTGTTCCTTTAAGACAGCACAACAAATACAATGCTATACATATTAATTTAAAGGGTTAGTTCACCCAAAAATGTTAATTCTGTCATTAATTACTCACACTCGTGTTGTTCCAAACCTGTAAGACATCTTCGGAACACAAATTAAGATATTTTGCATTCTCTGACCCTCCCATAGACAGCATGACACACGCGAGCGTGTGGCGGCGCTGACCCAGATCTGGCATAATGACGTCATCACGCTGGATCTGGGTCAGCGCCGGCGCCGCCACACGCTCGCATCATGATACTGTCGTGAACGTGCGTCCACAAAAATGTAGCCAAACTGTGTGCAATAAATATGCCTTGATATGTTAAATAGCACAATGAAAGTTTATTAATGATTCCATCTCGTGACCCTTCTGACCTCTGCTTGTGAAATATGTCTGACCCCATGACCCTTTGTCTGACCTTTGTTAATAAAAAATCACGTTGTTATGACAGACGTGAGCGGACTTGAAATAAACACGCTTCTGTCTTTTTTAGCAGTACTGAAGCACTAAATTTGTCTTTTGGTTTTTGTTGTTTTTTTATTACTTTTGCATTTCAATTTTGTACAAGCATATATGTACATTTATGAATGGAATAAAATATCCACTCACATTTTTTTAAACCTAAACTGTGGAATTCATTATTTACTTGAGCTAAAGTCTAGAATAAGTCATTCTGCGATAAGTAAATGTTCAATTCATGACTATTTCATATCAGCATACACTGTCACCGAACCGACTATCCAATGAAACCTTTCATATGCAAACCAAATGCATGCATTTAATGTCAGTCACCCTATCATGCATACATATTGTCTTGTCAACATATATCAAACCAGACATCACAAAACACATCTTTCCTTAGAAAACCGTAGTTCACTTGATAATCACACCAGTTTTGGACCTATTAAAGTGGTTTGTTCTGCTGCCGCTTGTGCCTAAAAACAGTATCTGATGTGATTTCCAGAGAGGAAATGTTCATGTGGAGATATGAAAACGTCCCTGTTTTGTGTATGAAGCTGAACGTCACTTTGATGCACGCTGGCGGCCACTTCAATGGCGTGTAATTGCTGAAATAAGCTGCCAGTAAGAGCGGAAGCCGTACAGCATGGCCCATTTTCATTTATCAGCTCACTTATTCCCATGGGATGATGGAAATATGTCATTATGTGACATAACGAGACATATTTTGATGGAATTTCTCACAGTATGCTGTTCAGATTGGACCAAATCAGCCAAACTACTACAGTTTATACCACAATCGAAGCTTTTATCGATGATATTTGTGGCAGATGAACACTTATTTTTGATTGTCTGATCTCAATAATGTGCATTGGAACTAATAATGTCTTTCTCTTTCTTGTCCTTTCTTTCTCCTTCGCTTTCTTGTTTTCTGTGAAGACTCATGGCTGTGGAAGACGAGCTGAGGGTAGGGGTGGTGCCTGAGCACAAACCCAGGATATTCGCAGACCAGGTCTGTCTTCTCATTCTGGATCTCTCCTGGACTGTTCTGTCCATTGTTCGCGTGTCTGTCTGTCTATGTTCATGTCGGAATGCCTTTGCTCGTTTGCTCTGCCTGTCTGAATGCTTTACAGGACTGATTTCCATCGCTGATGTAGGATGATTTGTAGGTCAGAACTCACAGATCACAGATTTGATCCACTTGAGGAAGAGTAGCACGGAATTCTGATGCTAAAGCTGAACTATCCCAGAGGAGCATTTTATTGCTCAGATGTTACACCTTTTCAACTTTTCTGTATGTTTATTATATATATATATATATATATATATATATATATATATATATATATATGAATGCATTTTATTATGAAAGCATACTTTAACTTTGAGAACAACACATTGAAAAAATAGGGAAAAATAAATAATAAGTAAATAATTTTATAAGCCCAAAACTTTAACATGTAACCACCAATGTCTGTTAAGTTTGGCCTTAGTAAGATTTTGTAATATTAAAAAAAACCGGTAAAACCAGTAATTTTGTGAAATATTATTACAATTTAAAATAACTGTTTTCTATTGGAATATATTTAAAATATATTTTATTTATGTGACGCAAAGCTGAAATTTCAGCATCATTGCCCCAGTCTTCAGTGTCACATGATCCTTCAGAAATCATTCTAATATGCTGATTTGCTGCTTAATAAACATTTCTTATTATTATAAACGTTGAAAACACTTACGCTGTTTAATATTTTTGTGTAAAACATTTTTTCATAATCTATTCTTTGATGAATAGAAAGTTCAGAAGAACAGCATTTATTTGAAATATATTTTTTTCTGATATTATAGATGTCTTTACTGGCACTCTTGGTCAATTTAATGCATCCTTGCTGAATAAAAGTATGAATTTCTTTCAGAGAAAACTAATCCAAAACATTTGAATGGTACAGTACACGTTAGAAGGAACCAATGAGAAATCTGTTTTCAAAAAGAAAGAATATAAAGCTATAAAATTCATGTAACATAGTTCAAATCATTTGCTCTTGATGAGAAATCTCTGAAATCTCTGAGATTTGATTGCAGATTTTATATCTTGGCAAATCTGAGCACTGTTTGAGACATTCTTAGGGTCTTTTTCTCAGGCCAAAGTCTCCTTTTGCTCTCCATTTAGTCTTATTGCTGTCTAAGAGAAACGCTTTAGATATTATAGAAATCTTTCCAATGGGATAGTTCAAAAAATACAGGTACTTCAATACATAATGCATTTTTGAAGCATCATTTGCTCAGTGTCGCTTAACCTCGAGTGGAGAGATATTTAGTCAAGCATTAAACTCAAATGCTTCACGTTTCTTTCCATGCGTCATCCTTCTTTTTTCGCTTCTTTTTTATGCTTTGATTTCTCATGAATGGTGCATCGCTGTTCTGTATGTTTCAACAAACACCAAATTCTCAGCAGTTGCAGTCTGTGCACACGTCACTCGACCGCTCTGAGCAAACGCTCCAGCTGGATCTAAATCGGCTTCTGATTTGACTTTGAAAAGAAGAAAATCGATCATCTTGTTCCTGACTAGATAAGATAAGATCAAACGAGTGAGCTGCTGCACGTATAACTGAGGGATCAGGAAAGCTGCTGAGTGGACAGAACCGCAGGCAGACGTTCAGCGCTGTCAGCACAGATTCTCCTGCAGAATACAATCAGCATGTGAAAGAAAGCAGCTCTGTAGATGAAGCTCAGGTGGGCATCAGGAGATGTTCGGAAGAGGCGAAACTGCAGGGTTCCGGAAGGAAACATCTTTTTAACATCTATTGAACACATTTAGATTGCCCAAATGTGAGAAGAAACAAAAAATATTCAGTCTGAGCCTTATAACATCCTTTATCCTGAAGTACTTCATATAAATGCATTTAATATTATTAATTAATTTAATAGTATTAATTTACTTAATAATGTAAAACAATATGTAAAAAGCTATTCATTTCATATTTGTATAGTCCAATATTTGTATCTATTCAGTTAATAATAAACATAATTTTAAAACAATATTTGTATTTTTTGCACTGCCGGTCAAAAGTTTAAAAGGAGTCTCTTATGCTTACCAAGGCTGCATTTATTTGATCAATGATACAGTAAAAACTGTAATATTGTGAAATATTTTTACTAATGTAATATTTAATATACTATTAAATATAATAAATATATTATCAAATTATATTTTATATTATGCTATATATTATAAAAATATGATAAAATATATAATAAAATATTATATTATGGCATATAATTTTAATATATTAAAAATAATTTATTTTTGAACTTTCAGCAGCCATTACTTCAGGTTATCATTATCAGTTATTACTGATGCTCCATTATAAATAATGGTTCTTATTATTATCAATGTTGGCAAACAATTTTCTGCTTAATCATGTGACACTAAAGACTGGAGTAATGATGCTGAAAATTCAACATTTCAACACAGAAATAAATGACTTTTAAAAATATATTCATTTTAAATTGTAATAATATTTCACAGTATTATTGTTTTTTTTTTTTTACAGCAGTTTTGATTAAATCAATGCAGCCTACTTTAAGCATAAAAAAATCTTAATTATTCCAAACTATTGACCGGTAGGGTAAATAATTATTCTAGTTAATTCTGCATCAAAACGGATTATATTCTCTTCCAAAGCCACTCTGATTTCAGCAAGAGAGAAGTTTGTGTTTGTAAAGCGCCCTGGTTTTGAACCGTCCTGTAGTTTTTAATGATGCGTCTCTGTCAGTTCTGTGTTTGCTCATGTGCTTGGCAGACGTTCACAAGCTGTATGTTTGTTTTTGTTCTGCCGTTTTTCCTTCCACTTTTATTATGTCAGGTGCATTAAGCCAGTAGCATGTCCCTGTTCACAGATTATTTGGACGGTAAGAGTTGAAGAATTATTCTGTTGTATTTGTAGAGCAGAGTTTTGTTTAGCTTGTAGCTGCATGTTGGCTGCAAAATCATTATGATGACCAACATGGCACTGAGTGCTTCAGCACAGATTTTGTTTGCCCTTTACTTATGTGGCAGGTTTGTGTGTGTGTTTTGATGGACATTTAAATGTTCGTCTGGGAATTTGTATGTGTTTTTGTGTGAGTGTGTGCGTATTTCCACATGCATGCCGATCCCGTCTCACAGACACACACTCCCTTTGCCTGCTGGGATTGTTGGACAGGCTCACACCCTCACATACACACGATTCTCTCCTCTCCTCTTCTCCTGTCGTGTGTTGATGAGATACGGTGATTTCTCTTAGGGGAGGCGGCAGTCCATCCTAGTGCAGCCCCGCCTTGCGCCCGTCCCACTGCGAATGCACAGGTAACGACTCACCCGACTGTGACCCGCCCACTCCACCCCTGTCTCCTCCCACATCCACTGTATGTACACTGGACTCGTCCACACACACACTGCACCTCGCCTGCACAAAGTCATATGCACCTGTACTTCCCAGCCAGAGTTAATTAAACTAGAATAAATGTTGGCTTGTTCAAACCTGAGGGAAAAAGACTTTTAACAAAAAGAGTTTATGTAGGACTTATAGTTTGAGGAGTTTGAAGAGAGATTTGAAGATTCATACAGATAGATAGATAGATAGATAGATAGATAGATAGATAGATAGATAGAAAGAAAGAAAGAAAGAAAGAAAGAAAGAAAGAAAGAAAGAAAGAAAGAAAGAAAGAAAGAAAGAAAGACCATTACAGATAGATAGATAGATAGATAGATAGATAGATAGATAGATAGATAGATAGAAAGAAAGAAAGAAAGAAAGAAAGAAAGAAAGAAAAAAAGAAAGAAAGACCATTACAGACAGATAGATAGATAGATAGATAGATAGATAGATAGATAGATAGATAGATAGATAGATAGATAGATAGATAGAAAGAAAGAAAGAAAGAAAGAAAGAAAGAAAGAAAGAAAGAAAGAAAGAAAGAAAGAAAGAAAGAAAGGTAGAAGTTTGTCAGATTATGTTTGTCAAATTGTTTGTCAAGCCAACATAATAAATACATGCTGAGAAATCAGTTCTGCTGATGTAAAGTGAGACATTCTAGCAAATGATCTCCCACAGCTCTGTCTCAATCCACAGTCTTTGTTGTTCATCTTAAATTATCTTAAGTAAATGTGACATTCCACATAAATTTAGGATAATTCTGAACCTCTCAACACATTTGAAAAAATTCAGTTTGGTATTTGGTGATTAATATCTGGGGAACAGCACAATGTAACTGCATTATTCCTAAAAAGGTAACACACTATGATTACTTTTTTTATGGAAAGTAATGCATTAGCTAATTTTTCATTCACCCACTGAAGCAAAAAGTTTTAAAAAAGTAAAAAATTAAGCAAGATTGATAAATGTAATAATGACAGCATTTTGATGAGTGCGTTATCGAATACTGAGTATCCTGAAAATAATTTTGCTGCCATGTCCTGTTTCAAAGAGATCCTCTTTTTTTGTTTGTTTGTTTGATTGTTTTGCAAGAGGCTTCAGCTCACATCCATGCAAAATCTCATAGATTCAGCATAATCTGACACTATGTAGAGGTACGCAGGGCATATGGCTCAGTGCAAGGCGCAGGACTTCTCATCACCATGTCCATTCTATCGACATCATCACCATTGCACTCTGAAACAGATGATGATGAATTCTGGGAAATCTCCGTATCTTTCTCTGTGCCGCCCTGGCGGGGGTCAGGAGTGGCTTATCAGCGTGCATGAGATCCTGGATGAGTGTGAGTGTACGTAGTATGTGTTCATGCTTTTGTTGCGGTGTTTAGAGCGCTTTTGGTGATTTCGAAGTACGTGTGTAGATATTTGTGCACTGAGTGGTGTGTAGCTGTTTCACTAGTTTGTCGCATAGAAATGCAATGTTCATGGTTGCGTTAATAGCTCATTTTATGCACAGTTTCTTTTGGGTAAATGAAGACATGCAACATTCATGTGAGGTAAAAGGCTGACTGAAAATGAAAGGTGAATGCATGTGGTGCTGCTCAATGTATTTGTATTTTTTTGGTTTTATAAGGTTTCTGGGTCCTAAAGAGCTGTAGAAACACATCCGAACATCTTTTGAACCTAAATTATCTGACATACCAATTCAACCGGGACTTTGATTTGACCACCCAAAGAAAAGCAATGGTTCCAGACGAAAGTGACTGTCATGTGAGTTGCAGTTCTGACAGAGATGCACCCTTTGCTCCTGTTGTCGTCATCACTTGTCTTTCTGTTTAGTGTTGCAGCTAGATCCAAACCTCCGTTCCCCAACTCTAAATCCATATTCATTCTCAAATACTAGGTTCTGATTGAGAAGAGAAACAAATTGCACCAAAACGGAGTCAGACTGGCTTATGTTAGCAAAGATAGCCACTTCGCTAATGTAACAGTCTGGAACCAAAGCAAATTCCTTAGTGTGAAAAACATAGAACCCATTAAAGTTGAGCCCTTCACTCATAATTCTGTTAAAAATGAAGTCAAGTATATTTAGAATGGTAAACATATTAGCAACAAATGTTAAGTGTAAATGTTGTTGTCATGTTGTTTTGTTGAATTTCTGATGCATTAGCCTCAGGATTAACTTTAGGTTGATTTAACTCCAATGTTTCCGCCCCAATACAGACTTCACTGAAAAGGACTGATCATGATGAAAAACACACTGAACATGATTTAGATATAAAATGAGCTGAGGCAGCTTTTGGCACTGCACTGCGACTCTGTAGGTAAGATTAGAGGATAAGAGCTAAATAGCAAACAGTGTCTCCACTATTTGTGAATAGGAGCTGACAAAAAGTTTGCTAATAATGTATTAGCCAAAATATTTTATACATATTTAAATTTATATATAATTAAGTTGATTACAAAATAATTAGATGTATACATATATACTGATTAAAGGGATAGTTCACCTTCAGTCGCTGGTCCCCATTGACTTCCATAATGAAAAACACTATGCAAGTCAATGGGGACCAGCAGCTGAAGATGAACTATCCCTTTAAGAATATAGAAAATTATATATAATTTGGTATTCTTTTCAGTGCGACTCTTTCTGCATGTTACATATAATTACGTCAGAATGTGACAACAAGTGACAACAATTTTCGGTGTTATGAGTGATTCGCTGAATAATTCTCAACCCAGTTGTTAAAAACACTGATTCAAAACAAGTACAGAACATACGAGTGACTCATTAAATCATCTCTCAAACGATTCGCTCAAAAACACTCATTCTTTCAGGGATGAAACTAGTACTCGATACATGAGTGATTAGTTGAATTGTTCACTCACGTTTCACTCAAAAACACTGAATCATTCAGGAACGAAATATTTTCATTGGCGGTGCAAAACTAAAACAAATATCTGTTAATATAGTCCCTAAAATGTAAGTTTAGGGACTTGCCGTTAGTACTCTGGTGGTAAACACGTTAATGACGCTATACCATGTTTACAAAGTGAATTGTACAGACACTGTGGTTGAGCCAAATTGAGTTTGAAAACTCCCTGAAATTCTAAATAGTGGATTTGACACTCTTTAAACAAGTGCATTTTGATATAAGATATAAAGATTTTTTAAATGATCATGCAATATAATACAAATTTGATATGAACGATTTGTAAGATAGTAGATAGGTTGCAACTTGATTCATTGTACAACTCCTGTGAAATTGTCTTTCATTTGTACTGATGACAGAATCAAGTTTATTTTCAAGCTGTTTTAAACTAACTCAGCTATTTTTACAGAATTCAACGAGGCATGATTTGTTCACTAGAGCCCTTTGGGCTGGCATAACACTGTCAAGCACATGTGTTGCAAATACAAACTGTCACAACAGTTAAGATATGCTTGTGATAGCAGAACTAAAAGCACTTACATTTGACATAAATATTCATTCTCACTTCCTGTGTTCTTTACAGTTGATCACACTGTTGCATCAGCTGCATGCTTGCATGCTTAGTAGAAGTCTCTTTAACTGTTCTTTTAAAGGGGTCATATCATGAGCAATCAGATTTTTTGAGAAAACTAACTATGAGTTACATCTTGATGTAATGATTGACTGGTGGGAATGTGAACATGTTAATGCAATTGCCGTGGAATGCATTTTCAAGTTGTATTAATATGTTAAAAATATCCCTCCATTTTATTTTTGCTAATTTAAGTTGCCGTTCAAAAGTTTAGGGTTGGTAAGATGTTTTTGAAAGAAGTCTCTTATGCTCACACGAAGGGTGCACGTATTTGATCAAAAATACAGTAAAGACAGTGATATTGTGAAATATGATTACAATTTAAAATAGCCAAATAAATAATACATTTAATATATTTTACATGTAATTTATTCCTGTAATGCAAAGCGGAATTCTCGCATTCATTACTCCAGTCTTCAGTCACATGATCCTTCAGAAATCATTCTGATATGCTGATTTGATGCTTAAGAAACATCAATTATGAATATGAATATGCATATGAATCAATAAATTATAAATTAAACATTTTTGGTAAAAAAAATGAATTAGTGAAAAGCAATGTATGATATGACCCCTTTAATGCAAAATTAACCTCAATGAATAGTGCTCTTCTTATTTAAAATAGCATTTTGAGGATATTTACCAAAGATAATCCAATAACCAGGGCTTGAAATGTTCTGTGTCACTCTGTTTTTGACAACCACTCTGGCCTTCTGCAGTGCAACCTCACAAGAGCACAAGAGCATCAACAGCAGATTTATAATTCCCTCCTCATCCCTCTCTCTTCCTTTTCTTTGTGTCTATCCCTCTATCCCTGAGCGATTCTCTGGATATTTTTCATTCCTCTGCTGTGCGACTCATGCTCCTGTTTTATTCCTCCTTTACTGCTCTTCCAATCCCTCATCACCTCAAATCTCTCTTTCTCTTTCTCCCTCTCACTCTGACCCCATGACCTCCATTTGCTTTGATCTTCCTGTTCTGTACTTCCCTATCGATCTTCTTGCCATGGGAACTTCTCTGTTTTGCGTTCCATTTGCTGATTTTTTTTTTTGCGGAATCTTCATCTCTCCATCATTCCATCCCTCCTCCTCTCCGCCTGCTCTCTCTCTTCTCCTCCCCTTTCCTCTCTCTCTCTGTCTCGCTAGGAAAAGCAGCTTTCCGCCTTGGATTCAGCAGACTCCGGTGTGAGTTTTGGAGGAGAATTGACCAGCTCTCCTGGCGTTGTGGGAGTCTCCCAATCGGACAAATCCTCCACCCGATCCCCCCTGAACGGAATCTTGTCCTTCCCGTTAGCCTCCCCTCCTCATTCCCATCCTCACGCACAACTCCAGCCGAACGTTCTACGCCAACCAAAAATCAGCAATGGCATCGAGGGCAAGTTTGGAGGGGGAGCAGGTCAATAACAACACTGAACGAATCCAAGAGAATTTTTAGGAATTCCGAAGAAAAATTCACATCCTTTGTCATCCTTTGAAGCTTCAGCGGTTGTTTTATTTTGTGCATTAGACTGAGGACAAGTGGGAGGCGGAACACACCATTACTTGCACCATCCAAAACAAAAGGGCTCTCCATTGGATCCGATATGTTATTCCAAAATCACGTTTACTTTGGATCAAATTTAAAAGCCCCTTGCACATACAGTACCTCTGCCACCACAGGTCATCCAAACCACTGGAAAGTGCTTGGTTCAGGTTCCAGGTTTTTTTGACTGAGTTCCCTCATATTGTGTAAAAAATTCCAAGAAGCTGGGAATGACCCCAGGACCGGTGGGCAAACAAACTATACGTACGTTTCGAAGTGTATAGAGATCGAAAAAATGCCTGCTTTGTCTTGAGGATTTTGTCATGTCATCTGGCTTCCCTAGTGCCTTTCTGTATCTCCTGACAGGGTTTTCAAACGAACTCAAGAATAACGACAGCAGAATTACAGAAAAGGTTGTACAAACGCCGCTCTCTTCTCGAGACTGCTCACTTAGAAGAGATTGATGTGTTCTTCTGCCTCAATGTAATGCTGAAAATGTCAAGCTTTGGAATATGAACATGGCTCGGGTTTTTTTGTGGACAATGTCTGGAAAGTGCTTGTGGTCTTTGAATTGCCTCACTAGACTGAACTTGTGCAATGTTCTCTCTTCTCAATCTCAGAACCTATGTGTATTTAACTGGTGCTATGGATTCTCAAAGCATTGCTCTGTGTCACATCACCGCCTCCCATTCTGTCATCGTCCTGACTGTTCATATGTGTATTCGTCCTCCCATTTATCTCCTTATGGGCCGATTTTGACTTTCTTTCAGTGTGTGTCTGCAACAGGAGATGAGTGCGAGGTGATCTCTGTCAGGTCAAAAACCTTTTGTCTTTTTACTAAAACAAGATGCTAGGCTAGAATGCAGTTGTGGTCGTATGGTGTTTTTTATACAGAAACTTTTTTGTGTGTTTTTGTCTAAAAAAGTTTAAAGTCAACATGAAAGTTAACAAGCAACCAATTTTCCCTCCATAATGTGACTTTTTGGAGTAAAATGGGAAGAACTGACTTTATTTTAACTTTTAGAAATTCATTGGATTGTAAAAAAAAAATGGTGTTACTAGAATGGAGTCTGGTGGCTAAAAAACAAAAGCGAGTTGTTTCAAAGGTGGTGCAACTTGTATTTTGTTAAACGATTACGAAAACAACCCTGTTTTTATATAGAATAGCATGCACCAAATAATCATCAATAAGACGACTAAGAATGTACATTGAAAAAGTAGACAATGACTCGTACCAAATAATCAGTACATTTACATTTATGCATTTGGCAGATGCTTTTATGCAAAGCAACTTTTATTGCATTCAAGGTTTACATTTTATCAGTTCACACAGGGGGAGTCGAACCCATGACCTACTCTTTAAGCTATGCTACAAAATTGCGAATAATAAGTTAACAAGTAAACATGGTCCATTTTGTTTTCATGTTGACTTTAAAGTTGCTCAAGCATCTCTAAAATAGTTCTTGGTAGCGTTGAATGGTCATTTTAGGAAAGATCTTGTTAGATAACAGACTTGGTTTGTAAAATAATCAGATCTTTATGTACTGTACAGAAATATTGCTAGCTATAATTCCTCATTTGAGTATCACTGCCATCTGGTAGTGATTGCATTCCTCATCGCTCACTACAAGTTGTTTTATTGTTTGTTTTACGATTAATCAGTTCATTGTCATGTTTCTACAGACTCAAGACATTCACATGGCTTCGCTGATACAAGTCATTCCATTATAACCCAGTTCATTGTTGATTGCCTTGTTGCTGCATTGTAAACCAATACAAGTTGTAACAACTTCACCAATACAGCAGGCCTAGATGAGAGCGAGGAGATTTAAGTCGTAACTGCACAATAAAAACACTGAGCTGTACTGTAATATTTATAAATTGGGAAGGCACTAGAGAGGAGAATGGACTGATTGCCATTTTAGCTTTTAAGAGCTTCGAGGGCTATCTTTAAGTGACTTCTACTCCATTTAGTAATAATAAACAGGCAATTTTGTTTATGTCCCAAAAGCGGTTGAGAAAAAGTGGGATAACAGGGTTATCAGCTGAAAAATGTGCCATGACATGAATATACCTCAGGCGTAGAATCGAATGACTCAGGTAAACTTTCAATTGCCTCACAGTTTAACGCAAACTGGATAGAAAAAAAACTCATTTTAAGTTAAACTGCCTGTTTTGGTTGTCAGTCCATTTCTTCTCTGAGATTAGTAGCAGTGATTGGCCATCGGCTCATCAAGCACCTCCTCTTTTCCCTGCATCTCCAGCCAATCACAAAGCTTCGTGGAGGACAATCTGGAACCTAATTGGAGGCCTCACCTTGGACATTCTTCAGGTTGGCCAGGTTTTAATTCCAGGGCGCTGTCACGCGATTCGGTTGGTTGACAGAGGGGAAACTGAAGCTTTGACTCAGCGCCAGAACCGATCCAAAGAAAAAATATAGGTTCCCTTCCTCTGACGTGCCCTCTCTCTGATATAATTCGATATGATGACCGTTTGGGATGCTTAACGTCTGTCAGTCGGCTTCTGCGTGCCTCTAAACAACGCAGTGGTTCATTGAGAGAGCTGGAGAGGTTCTGAGGATCAGATCAATCTCAAAGGTGCTGTTTTTTAGGTTCTTTACTCATGTAGGATATTGAACAGTCCTCTACTTCTCATTATGATCTTCATAAACCACCTTAGCTCTGCCTGTCATGCCTGCCTGCGTCTCAATCATGTCTTTTATTTTAGGGAAACTGAATATGCACAGCCATTTTTTTTTTCTCAAGAGACGCTGATTTGTCCTTCAGCGGATTTGATAAGAGGCTGGAAATATCCGAACTTTTGTTTCCTGCCGGTTTTCTACTTCTTGACTGGACCTCACCCAGATGAGATCACGTATTTACATGCTGGTAATGTGAGACAAGAACTTGAAAAGTCTGAAAATAATCCTTTTTTGATCCGTCAATTTATGAGACAATCTCTTCGCAAAGAAAAATCGACAACCTGTTATTTTACCTGCTCCCCCTCCCCGCACTTGGCTGGATCCGCGCAGACTCTTTGTATGTGAAAGAAAGATGGATTCTTTTACTTTTTAATTCTCTTTCATTTTGCTGTGGAGTTCTTGATTTTATGGACGACACCTTTTGGAAGTGGAATCCTCTTATTTAGAAATTTGGCAGTCGCACGTTTGTAGGATTGTGGGTAGTTTTGCAAAGTTTTAAATGTAACTTTATTTCCTTGTTTGGATGCCATTGCAGGGCAACACGGACATTTCTCTGCTTCCTTTTTACACCACTAGACAAAAATATAAATGTTGAGAGATCATGCAGGTCGAAATAATGTTGTGGGTGACTGTGTGTATATACAGTGTGTGTGTACAGTCTTTGTGTATATACTGGATGTATGAATGGTTATATAATATAAATATACAAATACATGTATTTTGTACATAAGATATGTTTGTATATGCAGTGTACAGAATGTGTTCTTTTACACCGATTTCCCTTTTTCTCGATATGTGGAAAAAGTAAAAGCATAACAGAACTTTGTGGGAATGAAAACTCGCATTGGCGACTCGTCGGCGGAGTTATTCGAAGCACTTTTCGCTCAGGCTGATTATACGCAGTCTGAAACTTAGTCTACAATGCATCGCCGTGGGTCCGCCACACGCTTTGCCAGTCTAAAGCTTGCACTCATTTTCTCACTGATTGAGGTGTTTTGTAACAAGTTCTGGATGACCAAGCAATGCTTGTACATAAATAGGCTATATAGGCTTAATACCTATCGTATGTTTGCAAATATCAACTTTTCCAGACATGAGTCACCTGCTAATCTTTGCAGCTTTTGCATCGCCACTTGCTTTCAATTTCAATGCGGTGCCGTACGTGTCACAGATTTTTTTTGGATCGCTGTAGAAGGTCGATCTCGTGAGAAGACTCTGCTGATCTTTTGTATGGCCTGATGCTTTATTCCCTCATTACTTGCCTAGCAACTCTTCCATGCAAGTAATCGCTTCTTTGTCCCCTGTAAATAAATGGAGTTCCCATGATGTGCCTCTTTCTAATAAACTTCAGTTGGTCTTTGTCAGCCATAAGCCAATCACAGTCATCTCTCTTGACAAGCCATAAGCCCCGCCCCTAAATTTCAATTTTTGAAAAGGGCAGACACTTGGGAATTTTATTTCTTTTTGTATATATTAATAGAAAGCGTGGTATGTCAGAGTGTATTGCCGATGTTTTTGGATTTGTTATGAATGTTGATATTCTGGTTATTGAATTATGATTATTATTGTAATAATATAATGACTGCTGTTATCATTTCATCATTCTTTAGTTTATTCAATACTGTTAAAACTTTTATTTCTTTTCGAATGAATCGGAATTTATATTTTTCGGGTGGACTAATTATAGAAATTAAATCAATTAAACAGATGAATAAAGAAATAAATTCTTATTGAATTCATTTACCATACTGAGAATGATGTTTTATCTATCTATCTATCTATAAAAATGTAAGGGGGTCTGAATACTTTCCGTACCCACTGTATCTGTCTATCTATCGTTCTATCTGGCTGGCTGGCTGAAAAAAATAAAGTTGTGGCTGTTTCAGTTGATATAATTGACGCCACTCCCAGGTTCCACAACTCAGCTGATTAAAATGTGCCTTTATTAATAACTTCAGCTAAAGTAGAAGATGATAAGAATGAAACAAGATGGAGGCTTGTGATTTCAGTATTGCTGTGTCTTGTCAAACATGTTAAAAATGCAGCTGCCAGGTGATGCCAGATGGTCCATCTGCAAATCTTGACCGGAGACGAGGGGTTGATGAGAACCTTTTAAATTGCAATTACTATTTTAAACAGCTTGTGGCTGGATCTACAGTACTCTGAAATTTGTAGCTGCTTGATGCCTGCATACACATTTAAAAATCAGCATTTTCCTTAAATTGGATGTTTTGAAACTAAAACTTGAGAACAATTTTCTAGAGGGAAATTGCATATCTGACTTTACTTTCCATTCATAAAACTCTTACAGTGTTCCTTCAGACATATCCATTACTTCTAAAACACGCAGGGCCGGTTCTAGACATTTGGAGGCCCCCTGCAATAAAAAGCACATAAAACAAATATGATTCCTAATCTTTCTAAAACACTTCATTTAAAATTTTGAACACTTATACAGTACTGGTCAAAAGTTTGGACACATTACTATTTTTAATGTTTTTGAAAAAAGTCTCTTATGCTCATCAAGTCAGAATTTATTTGATCAAATTCAGAAAAAAACTTAATATTGTGAAATATTATTACAATTTAAAAGAATGGTTTTCTATTTTACTATAAAATATAATCTATTTCTGTGAGGCAAAGCTGAATTTTCAGCATCATTACTCCAGCCTTCCATTATAACCTGTGACTTTCTTTTCAGGATTTTTTGATGATTAAAAAGTTGTTTAATATTACAAAATATAATTTTTTTTTATAACAATATGTCTATCACGTTTTATCAATTTATCACATCCTAGCTGAATATTACTGTTTTTTTTCTATATTTTTTATCAAATAAATGCAGGCTTGATGAGCATTAAGAGACTTCTTTCAAAAACATAAAAAATAGTAATGTGTCCAAACTTTTGACCAGCACTGTATGTACATATTAATCCAACTTTATTTAAGGTAATCTCTTTTTTGTTTATTGGGGATGTTAGTATAGCCATGATATGATGATGATGACGATGATGATTATTATGCAGTAATTTGTTTAGTAATTTATTCACAGTTCCTGAATACCACTTCAGTAAATGAACATCAGTGCTTTTATAATTTTTTTTCCTAGCTGGGTATGGGCAGGATTTCTCTTACACGCTTAAAAATAAAGGTGCTTCACGATGCCATAGAAGAACCTTTTTGTCTAAATGGTTCCATAAAGAACCTTTAACATCTGAAGAACATTTCTGTTTCAAAACAGGTTCTTTGTGGTGAAAGAAGGTTCTTCAGATTATAAAAAGGTAAGAAAGAGATGGTTCTTTAAAGAACCTTTGACTGAATGGTTCTTTGTGGAACCAAAAATGGTTCTTCTATGGCATCGCTTGAAGAACCTTTTGAAGCACCTTTATTTTTAAGAGTGTATTTATTGACTACATATATTGTCAAATTATTAATATTAAAAATATATTATGTATTGCATTGTTACCTTAAATATGCACTATATAGTGAAAGAGATGATCACTACTAAGCAGAAAAGTAGTTGTTTTCGAGTCAGTTGAAATTGAAACGAGGTGTTATGTTAGAGCAGTATTGTAATAATCAGCAGAATTCAGAAGATACACACATCTGACTTCCTTTTTTTTTTTTTTTTTTATTAAAAAATGTTCTACTGTATTTGCTTTTTAACTTTGAATACAAACTTCTTTGCTATTACTTTTGTAGCTATCTTGCTAGCTGAAGGATGTGTTTATCACAGCAAACATTTAGAAGGTGGGACCGCTTTGAAACGACAACATTAATTGGTTTAATTGCAGGTGAGTAACAATTCAACTATATCCAATGAAAAACGAGGCTAGTAGTTATGGTTATAGAGGCCTCTCCTCAAAGCCAATTGCCTGCTCTGCCAATAGTACCGGCCCTGAATATATGAAATATATAGTGATTTATCTCTGGTTGATCAATTGATTTACAGTAGTGAGAAAAGATGCCTTAAAGAACAAAACACATTACAAACGTCTGACAATAAACTGGTACGTTGGTTTTAACCACAAGAAAAGAAATGCCATTGACAAAAGTTCAGCAAGTTTATTACAGTTTGAAGAAAAATCTATATATATTATTATAACTTAACAACATATAAAGGACCGTCACACTAGCGACTGATCAGCTCGCCTGCAGCCGAGTGCTGCTACTACTTGACCAGGAACTTGACCTCAGGAAACTCTCGCGAGACTTGTAGCGGCGGTGTAGGAATCTGTCAATTGTCGCGATACTTGCAGAGGTTGCTGAACTGTGTGCGGTGGGAGGGGGAAAAATGGCCGCTTGCGGAGCGACACTCGGAATGATGAGCGACAACAACACAAACACAACCCCTTTTAAATGTGACAGCTGACCCGAACCGACACCAGCACACACACCGGCTTCCAAACGGATGGGTATCGCGGCCGGTGGCGGGGGAGGTCAGGAACGACAGCGTTTGTGTTCAAGTTATAATGTGCGGGAAATAGGTGAGTTAGCTAGCCTGCTAACGTTAGCCGCGCGCTAAACTGGAGCTGAACGAACTAGAACCAGAACAAGATACACGAAAACAGACCACAGCAGCTGCATTATCACTGCTAGGATGAGCGAACCGGGTCAAGACAGCGAGTCAGAGGCCAAAGTGCTTCATATTAAACGGCTGTACAGGTAAGAGTGCTGACAGCAGGCCGGTATTGTCAGGAAATCTCTGTAAGGCTTTATATATCTTATATTTTTGTGGGTCAGAAGTGTTGGAGAACATATTCACAAAGGGAAAATGCTAAACGAGACACTTGACACTTGAATACAGCGGCAGTTTAGCCATTCTTAGCCTCTGCGTGTCCATAATGTCTCATCTGGGAATCTTATATTATTTGGCATGTCTAGCATCAAATTATAGCTATTAAATCTAAATTTACTCCATGATTTATGTCTAGACGTACTCTTTTTAGTTTCTATAAAAGGACAGATATGTGTAAATAAAAATGAAAGGCCAGAATTGTAGGAGAATAAAAGGTATTTTAAGCATCTGCATACGCAACGATTGTACACATGTAGAATAGTCAGACAATTCTGATTATTTGAAATGAAATAGTTTATTGAACCTTTAGATAAAATGTAGAATAAAATCTTTGAAAAAGATTGGTATCATATTTGATACATTAAGCTTTTGTGGCTTATATAATGTGATATAGGTGAATATGGATCTCGGATATGATCTTAAGGATCTGAATATAATTTTGTTCAGAGGCCCAAACTGAGCATAGAGCAAAACAAAAAAACTGAGCGAACAGAGTGGGATTTTAAGACCCCACACACACAAATATGCTTCAGTTCAGTAAATGTTCATCTCGAAATGTTACTAACATTATATTATTTGATACATTAAGCTTTTGTGGCTTATATAATGTGATATAGGTGAATATGGATCTCGGATATGATCTTATGAGCGAACAGAGTGGGATTTTAAGACCCCACACACACAAATATGCTTCAGTTCAGTAAATGTTCATCTCGAAATGTTACTAACATTATAAAAAAAAAAAATCATTACAGATTACGGTATATATATAGCATACACATACACACACACTGTATTTTTAGAATTATACTAAAAGCCATTTTGCTTGCTATAATATAAAAAGTATAAAATTATAAATTAGATGACAGAAGGCATGTAGTAGGTTGTATACAATCGTTTTTTTTTAGTTTTTGATAATGTTGATAATTTAGAGGCCTTACAAATTCACGTATCATTTATGATTAAATGGGCTTTCTATGGTTAAGGGGCGGCTGAAATTCATCTTTAATCTTCAAATCATTTATTATCATCTAATAATTTTTACATACAGAAGATGAAATTAACTGGCCCCCCTCTTAAAAATTCTACATTTTATCTTTAGTAATATATAGAAAATGACAGCATTTTACTACAAAGCAAATTTGTAGCAGGTAAAATGACACATGGAAAACGATAAAGTTTAAAGGGGTCATATGATGCTGCTAAAAAGAACATTATTTGGTGTAATGAAATGTTTATGCGGTTTAAGGTTTAAAAAAACACATTATTTTCCACATACTGTACATTATTGTTTCTATGCCCCGCCTTTCTGAAACGCGTCGATTTTTACAAAGCTCATCGGTCTGAAAAGCGAGGTGTGTTGTGATTGGCCGAATACCTCAAGCGTGTGATGGAAATGTTACGCCCCTCACCATACTGTTGATGATGCTCTGTCAGGCCGGAGCGATGATTCAAAAACATGAAAACTCATTATAAACGAGGCATTCGTTGCATCCAGTGGGGACATAATTACTGATTATAATGACTTATACCCAGATGTGTAAAGTATTGGAGTAAATGTAATTAGTTACTGTACTTGAGTATCTTTTCGGGTACTTTGTAGTTGTACTGAGTTTCAAAGATATTAGCAACTTTTACTCTTTACTCCACTACATTTGAAATGAGTGTTGCAGTTACACATTACATTTTGCATGGACCTAGCTTTTTCTGCGGCAGTTTATTTCTGCTACAAAAGACGTGATACTGCCTATTACAGGTCACTGAAATTACTGCGTTTTATTTTGGATTTAGAAAATAAACGTGATTGCTCTCCTCACAAATCAACTCATTCTTGTTTTTGTTTCATGCTCTCTGTGCCTTGCCCTGGACTTTTATGTCACTTCCT